CCTGTTGTGGGAAAACAAGCTGGTGGGGCATAGGTGTTAATTGAACTAAAAATGCTAATGCTGTGCAGATCATGGGGTATCATTTACTTAGCATTTGTCTGTTGGGCTCTCAGACACCAACACCTTCAGGACCGTCACCTCTTTTCAGGTTCTTCACTAACTTCACTTTTAATGAGCTCAGACAATGTAGCAAGCAATATCCACAGCAATAGCATAGTTCCTTTCTGAAGGGATAGACCTTCTGGGCATTGTTACTAATCCCCAAGCATCTTACCAAAATCACTGTCCTCGTAATGTTCTGTCGGCTGCTGTTCATCAGTAACGTTTAATGAAGATGTCCCTCAATTATTAACTGACCTCTAAAGAAATAACAGTATGTAGCCAAATTCCTTGCATTTTCTATCTGCAAGAGGGCAACCAAAGTTTTGTTGTTTTTCATTATTACTGTCCGTGATTCCATAAGAAAAGAGCTTGACACCCTCTTACCTGGATGTATGAACTGTAATGGTTAACGATGCTGAATCTCCAGTGCTCGAGATCTGGTTTTTCGGCTGTTCTTAGTTTGCTTGTATGATGTCAGTCATTTGGTTGTAGTGTCACAGTGTCTGGTTGATGAGTATTGTGGGAAGCTAGTGGATTTCCAAAATGTTGTGGTTTTAGGCATTTTAGTACAACTGAACTGCATTTTGGATGAACTGGAGCAGGTTAATGATTTAAGAGGAGCTTTTAATTAGACTCTACATCAAAATGGAGCTTTTAATTGGACTCAGTACATTTTGTCTGGGTCATTTTATATGATCAGCTTGAATATTTTTGATGCAATACCACAAGTACAGAATTTACTGACACCGAGGGAATAACGAGTATTTCCTGCGTGTTTCATCATCTTAGCTGTCGTGCCAATTAAATGAGAGATTTTCTCCTTGTGAATCTTTCAGCTGTGTGCCTGGTGTGGACCAGCATCCTTTGAGTTTAAATCATGAATTTCTTCAAGTCTTTTAGCTTTAGATCGTCCAGTGTGGGTTCGTTTGCGTACGGAACTGGCTCACTGGTTCATGTCAACAAAGATGGCCTCACAGAAAGACCCGTCATTTCTAATATCAGGAACGTTGCAAACCTCCAATATTCAGAGGTGTTCTGATGTGCCTGCTTACTCTTCTACTTGCTGAAGCAACCGCTGTCTCTCTCTCTCTCTCTCTCTTTCTTTCTCTTTCTTTCTCTCTCTGCTTCTGTGCTAATACTTTTCAGAAGACTCTATATATATAATATAAAATCTCTAAAAACGTGACCAGCTGTAACTCTGGATGCAGTCTTAGATCCAGGTTTTCAGGAACCGATTACCTCAGAGCTCATGTGAATCAGTGTTGCTAGCTGGATTAGTCGTTGACACTACAGAGAAAATGTACACTATCATAATCACAAACAGGAGAACCTCTTTTGTACTGGTGTAACATGTATGAAGCACCCCTTGACAACTCAAAAACCTCTTTCTTCTCGAGCCTCTCGCCACTCGCAGAAAAGCAAATAAATGGTACTATACAGGGAAACTCGAGTGCTTCCTACATTTCCCCCTCCCTCACGAAGCCGGACATGGTTTGACCACCCCACATTAAACCAGGTGCATTTTGCTGTTCACTTTTTTTGATTCCATTTCGTCATTGCAGTCATTTTTGTAAGGCAGGGTGAATCCGATCGCTGGTTTTGGTGTTTTGTTACCTCATATTTTCCAAGATAAACGTTCAGGTCAAAGTGTAGCAGAGCTGTAAGTCAGGATGTTGTAAACGCTCAAGTATTAAAACATATTTCCCTCAGGGGAACTTAATTTATATAATTTTTAAAATCTTTTCTGCTTTATCCACAATGACAAATCCACTCTGACCTTAATAGTACCTTAACAGATTGAGGTGATAGTTTTTGCCCATGTGTTTAAAGTTTAAAACATGAAGCTCAGTATACAGTACCTGAGTAGTGAATGGCTCAATTACATGCCCTTTATATCTCCAAGACAGAAGAATTGAAGTTCGAGTTGGCACACGGGAAATGAAAGGAGGCGTTCTCACTTGTCTTGTCAAGGGGTCACACTTTAAGTGCTGTTTCTATATCAGAATATGTGAAATGTACATGTTGTAGGTTATGTTTCACTATTGTAGCTAAAATTGTAGAACAGAGATGGCTTGTACTACTGATTTTAACAAATATACTAAAAATCTGTATAAGACAAGATGTATACAGAGAGTTGAGCTTGTTGCTGTAACCCCTCTTTTGGATTGAAAAGTATGTTAAAGTTTTTATATATATTAAACGCCCTGGGAAAGTCAGACATCCATTGTATTGCCGTAATGAACTGAGGACTTTTTTTTCTTGGATGATCATTGTAACATAGTTCTTTAATTTGCAGTGGATCATTGTTCCTTTTTACTGTGGTAATTTTAGAACTCCGTATCCAGAGTTTGGACTAGATTTGCCTAGAGGTTGGGATGTGGTTGTTTCTGCTTTTCATTGGTGCCAGAATAAACCAGTATGAATGTAGTATTTGCCCAGTGTGAAACAACTACACCCTGACTGTTAGAGAAAAAAGTACTAGAAAGGATTATTTCAATTTTATCTTTTTGTATATGAAAGTAAACAATAAAATACTGACAAAACACAGTTTGGCTGTGGATTTTTAAACTTTTCAGTGTCTCTGCTTTGCTTTGTGAATGTAATTTTGGTGCATTTTGTGTTCTATTTAGCCTACATTCTTCAAAGGTTATTTAGTAGAATGCAGTGGTTCTTTGTAAGAGTATGAACACTCAAAGAACATAAATGGTTCTTTGCATGGTCAAATGGATCTTCACCATGATGGAAAACCACTTGTGTATCATTGCTGTCAGGAAAAAAAACCCCAAAATTGTATTTTTACCCAGTTACATGTTTTTACTCACTTGCATTAATATTCAGTTCACAGGGTGGAGGGGGGGGGTCGTTATGTTTTGTCGGTGATGCAGCTTTGTAATTGGTTGCACCTGACATTTGAGGTTTAAAGCTCTATTTTAGACCAAGAGTGCTTCAAAAGGTGAAGAACAGCACCGAACAAACTTCAGTTTGTGTATTGATGTGCTGATGGATGCTGTATGGACTGAGAAGCTCCACTGCAGTTTTATAAGTTATGCAGTAGTTTTTGACCTGACACTTTCTACAGAAGGTGTATTTTAGAAAGGTACTTTAACTTTTACTTGAGTCATTTTTTCACAGAATTTACAACTCATGTTACTTTGACATGTGTGTGGGTTTAGGCTACTCTACTGAGTTAATTTTGTGCTTAAAGTTTCAAATAATATAAAACCCACAAGCAAATGTGTTGCAAATACAAAGAGTAAGAATTTGACTTATTTTTTTAAAAACATTTCTACTCATTTTCACTCATTTTGATATTTATTATTGTCTGTTTTCTACTTTCTGATTTTGCTGGTACTTTTTTTCTTAAAAATTTTTTCTTTTGCTTTTGGCTTTTGGTGCTTTTTAACAGGGGGCCAGTCTTAGAAGAGGGCCTTCATCTGCACGTTCTATTGGTCAATTGATTTGGGGTGACAGGTCTTCTGAACATGTAGACGCTCCACACCTCGTACCATGTGCTGCTATGAGTGCAGCGCTGCAGTGGCAGATCTGACATTATGAACAATATTCCTTTTAAGTTATTATTGTAACACATAGTAATAGGTCCTGTGTTGACCTTGGTAAAACGATGCAACTTATTTTTGGCGAGTATAAACTTTTTAACGTATGAACGAAACTAACACCTTTCGAGTTTGTAGCTTTCAGTGCTAACTAGCCTAGCAGTGTCCACTAAAGTGCTAACTAAGCGAGCCACACTGGTAATGACACTAAACCTGTTAGTTCACTGTGTTAATGTGAAGAAGCTGAGATAGAAAGCCTGTTTCAGTGACACACGGAGGGATTCTGTACCATCTTATTATCGTTAGCTAAGATGGTACAGCTTCGTTCAACAGCTAATATACTTATATATATATAATGTATGTATGAAAATCATTGCTCATAGTGTTGGGCAGTACTACACTCAGTACGAAGTGCTCCGCCATGTTCAAGGCAGATCACAGCTCACTTGGGCGGAGCTTCCTGTTCAGAAGATCTGTCACTCCAAATCAGTTGACCAATAGAAAGTGCAGGTGAACGACTCATTCCAAGACCTGCCCCCTTTTAAAAAGTGCCGAAGGTCTAAAGCAAAAGAAATATTTCAGAAGCAAAAACTACATCAGCAAAATCAGCAAATAGAACCGAAGATAAAGCACAGACAAAATGAGTGAAAACTTACATCAGAATGAGTGAAAATGAGTAATAATATTTTTTGAAAAAAAAAAAAAAATAGGTTTAATTCTCATTATTTGTATTTGCAAAATATTTTGGACAAATTAATCACGATATTTTTATTATTTGAAACTTTTGGCACAGAATTAACTCCATATGCATTTCCCAAAAACATCTCAGCACAAAGACGATTCTCAAATGGTAGAGCGAGCATCACACTCAACACTCTCTCTACCAGTTAAAAAAGTCTTAACAATAAGATTGTTTTGGGAAACTTGGTACAATTTTAAACAGAAAGCCACTGGAGAAAGGCCGTGTAAAGATGAATTATGACTGTATTCGGTATAGAAGATCCACCAAATGACGTAAGTGGACCTTGATGAGAAAATAAAATACAATAAAAATCTAAGATATGATCTCTTCAGGTTTCAAGTCTTGTTGAGTTGCTGTTAATGCACTCATAAAAGGATGAGTAGCTGACTGACAAAAAAAAAAGAAAACTAAGTAGGGGGCTCGGAATTTGAAACTGTACTGCTTTCTTATCTGTATTTTTAAAAACCCAAATTAAAACATGCTGAAATCTCCCTGTGAATTCTGCCTGCAGCTCTGTGTCTCCGGGCGGTTTTGTTGTCTGCTCAGCAGGTGGCGCTGTGCAGGATTTCAGCGCCGCTCTGTCCCTCCTTACCGGACTTCCTTGGTTCGTTTTGCGCCGCCTGCTCAGATTGGAGGGTCGGTTTGAGCTGCAGTGCTACACTTTGTCAGAAATGGCTTTTCCTCGACTTAAGTTTGTGAGGTTTTTCGGCGGTTTTGTGTGCGGAGTGACTCTCAGCACTGGTGCCTGTGTGGCGGCGCTCAGACTCTACCTGCCCGAGAAGCAGTTCGAGGACTCGGAGGCAGAGACAGGTAACTCCGCCAACCGGCTGCTTTAGCTTTAGCTAACTTGAGAAAAGCGTTTTAAGCTGTATTTTAAGTATTGAGCCTCATTCACAGCTCCGGGTGATTTTAATGCGTTTGCTGTGTCAGTCAGCAAATAACTAGTAACTTTGTGAGTGGAACTTTGTAAGTTTCCCGCCTTATTAAAGAATAATGTGTAATATCGATAGTTAAACAGGCTGCCTCGATATTTCCATGGAGCTCATAGTGCTCCTGATCTCCCTTCTAACACAGCACTGTACACATTTTTGTGCTTTCCTTCATCTCCCTTCTAAAAAAAAGAAACACCCTTAGATCCCATTAGGAAACCAGATGTATATGGAATCAGAACATCTGTTAACCCCATCGGGAAAACACAAAATACCGTAATACTACCGGACAGTAAAAGGAACCAGCAGAAAATTTTAATAGTTTGTATGCTTTTTTTCAGCAGGGCTAACACAGCTGATTCAGTTCCTCAACTAATCAACAACCTCCTCGTGTGCTGGTCAGTGTGTTAAAGAAGGAGAAACACAAAAACGTGCAGAACATGACCTTCCCAGGGCTGAGAATCTCTGTCTGAAGGGCTGCTTTATTCATGCTGTTCTACGAAATCATTCGTAACTGGTTAATGTAAACTTTGCATGTTTCTTCAGAGAGTTCAGTGCAGAGTCTCATTAAGCGCTACGGCATCCCTCTGACCGGAGCAGAGACGAGAAGCTACACCAACCACATTCTGTCTTATGACCAGGGCCGAAGGATACCGAAATGGGTGGCAGAGCATCTGTCAACCGAAAAACTTCTTGGTAAGTTATGGGTGTGCGCTCCTTTTGTGAGAAGTCTGTCAGCACTACATTTCTAGTGAGTCAGTCACTGGAGTGCCGTAGCTTTATTAAGTACTAATTCTTCATTTAACCTTGTCAGGAAGAGCAGATAGAAAGCACTGCAAATTCAAGCCTGACCCTGGTGTTCCCGAGCTTTTCACTGCACACAACGAAGATTACCTTGGCAGTGGCTGGTCTCGAGGACACATGGCACCAGCTGCAGACAATAAATTTTCACAGGCAAGGCAACATTTCTTTTTTCATAAACTGTATTATCATGTCCAAAAATAGCTTAGATTAGATAATGCATTGATTTTGCAGCCACTTATTATATTTCACTTTTTTTTAGTTCCACACAAAAATTCAGCTCTCTAAGCATCTACACAGAAGTAAAAACATGTTAAAAAGTGTATTGTTATTTAGTATTATGAAAAGCATAGTCTAACAAATCATGGCTGACCCTGTGCTCTGACACCAGCTTTCTAAGCCGGAATATGCATAGAAAAGCATTTCATTGTACTGTGAAAGTATAATGACCTTAAATGTACTTACTTTAGAAAAAAGGTAGTGGCCCACCCCTGACCATCTAACTTTTACTTCTTTTCAACAGCACTCAATGGCAGAAACCTTCTATCTATCGAATATTGTCCCGCAAAATTATGAAAACAACGCAGGCTTCTGGAACAGGTCAGTAAAGATAAAGAACTGATAAAAGCTGTTTATTTTTTGTGTGCTTTTCTTATTAACAGCTTGTTATTTTTTTAAGATTAGAGATGTACTGCAGAGAGCTGACAGAGAGGTTCAGTGATGTGTGGGTCATCTCAGGACCGCTTACTCTGCCACAAGTAGGAGAGGATGGAAAGAAAACCGTCTCATATCAGGTACATGAACATAGTGCAATGTCTTATGTTCACTTTTCACAATTACTCTCTACACAGTCCGAGAATGTTATGCTAATCAGAGAATGAGCAGTTTTTTCAGTACCATTATCCTTCTTTTTCCTTTTTTGACTTCCTTTTACATTTCATCAAACCCCCAGATAATGCCCTGTTGTTGGGAATCCAGGGTCCATTAAAGGGGCTGGTTGTTACTTTGTTTATAAAATTATGAGTAAGTGGAAAGTGATATCAGTTATGTTGCTGTGTGCCAGCAAAGGTCCCAGTACTTTAGTTAGTTGTGCACCATTTGTTTTGCATTGCTAACATGGTAAGTACTTGTTATTTTGCTTGCACTTGTAATTTCAGTGCTGTAAGAGCTGTGGTTTGCATGTTCTTAATGCTCTAGTACAGTGGTTCTCAAACCGGTCCTCGGGGGTACCCTCAGATGGTCCACATTTTTGCTCCAGCCCCATTCACAGCACTTAGGAATAGAGCAAAAGTGTGGACCCTCTGGGGGTCCTTGAGGACTGGTTTGAAAACCACTGTTCTAGTGAAGAAGGCCAAAAGAGTGACAGTGTCAAATATCAGAAAGTAGTGAGCCCTTACTTTTCATCTGTAGCTTGAATATACAGTCTTATACAAAAGTTTGAACATATTCGGTCAAATTACTTATTTTGTTGATTTTCTAAATGAACAGACTTATGTAAATTTCAGAGCACGGTTCCAAGGATGTGTTAATAAATAATTTGACCCGGGGACCCAAATTTTGCATATGGCTGTCTAACTCAAATATTAGATGCACACTTCTGTAAGGGCAGCATTATTTCTGAATGGTCTTCTACGAGTGAAATTTTAATTCAAGCACATGACCAGTAGATGTCAGTGTTGTACTGTTTTTGCTCTGTACCTTTAAAAGTATAACCATAGCATCATCATCTTTTGCCTGTGGCAAGTTGTGTTTTACTCTAGTTAACGCGTAGCTGAGTTTGTATAATCTGGCCTGTGGGCCCAACATGACTCCAGCATAAACTCCAAACAGTTGTAAACAAAGTAATTTTTTTGTTAGAGGCATGGACGTGTTCTTTGGCTGATGAATTTTTATGATCACATGTGTGACTGTGTTCTATGGACCTATTAGCGGGGACTTTCTGTTGCCAAAAAAAAAAAAATCAATAGATAAAGCTAATAGAATAGCTACCTATAGATTAACTGACACATCACCAGGTTGAAAGAGCACCATCACTGGCCTGCAGTCTCTCCTGTCTGTGTGCCCTGATGTATATGTAGCCAAAGCAGAGCTCCAGCTGGCCTCGCAGGGAAAGAGTTGGTTTTCCGTTAGGGCTAAATCGACATAGACAGCCGCCCCCAGGGCTAGTATGTATCACAAATTGGCAGCGACAGGAGCCATGTTACCTCGATCTGTACACACTCTGGCCCTAAGAGAGACTGTAGCTTAGATACCTCTCTCATTTCCCTCGTGCTTCTATGGAATGAGGCACTTGTGCCATTGTGGTGCCTCCAGGGCATCTGGGTTCTGATGGCTACCTCAGAACGCTGTTGATGTTTGGTTTATGTGGACTGTAATCAGAGCTTCTTTGCGATTCAGTTGTGAATGATAAACTATGGAACGTGTTACACTTTATCTTTTTGTCCTCAAGCAATATAAAAATATTGATTGTGGCAAGGTCTGTGAAATGTTTTGTTGTTTACAGAAATACAGCCAGCCAGGATATTGGTTTTAACTTTTGAAATAATTGAGTTGTTCTGTCAGCACTTAAAAATACAGAATTTCTATGCAATATGTCTGTGTTTTATTTAAAAAAGAAATCAAGTGGCAAAGTACAATAAGCTCTTTTTATTATTATTATTGTTGTTGTTGTTGTTGTATTAGTATTATTATTATTATTATTATTATTATTATTATTGGATTGAAGTGAAAAATAATTATTTTCAAAATTCAGGACACACTGGGCTGAAAGGCAAAACAAAAAATAAAAATGATTTTCATAAAATAATTTATGCAAATGTTATTTGTAAATTAATTATTGTAAATTATGGTAGGCCACAGTATGTGCCATGAAATCCAACATCCTCGACAACAGAGAACAGTTGGTCATCGAGTACAATGGATTTCATTATTTATTAGTTATTCATTGTTCTTTCATTTGTGAATTTTTTCATCATATTAAAAACTGCAAAAAAAGAAACCGGTGCTACACTGTAAAGTAAAAAAGGGTTTTTAACTAATGTTAATTACTGGACTGCGTTAAAATTTTGAGTAAATTGAACTTGACGTAGTAAGTTAACAGAACAAGAATCTGTGTCTTGCACCCTGTCAACTTATTTAAAGTTCACTTGACTCAATTTTAAGGCAACCCGACTTTCTCACAGGTGTGATAGTAGTAAGTGGTATTAAACTTGTAATGGAGACGTTCTTGGGTGTTGAAAATAACAAACAGCCTTTTTTCTTTTGGTTGTTGTCCTAATCTGCTGTTTTTAACCATTTTCAGAAAAAAAAAATGGTGGCCGAATCCTAATAACTGTTATTCTTATTATTACACCATAATTTGAACTTTTTGATGACTTTTCTCTGACTGAAAGTGAGAACAGTTCCTCAGTGGAAGAGGTTGAGTCGCTGGTGAGCTCCCAGCAGATGTTCAGTTTGCCAGATGCTTGATCATGTAGCAATATAAATCAGCCACCTGTTTGCTGTAAGAAGACAGCATCAAACAGATCAGTGTTGTGTGTGTCTGTGTGACTGAGACATAGTGTTATTCTTGAATCTGCTTCTAATGTCTTGAATCTACTTCTAATGTCTTTATGTGGCTCAATCAGTTGATCGGAAAAGATGATGTCGCCGTTCCCACTCATCTCTACAAAGTCATCCTTGCACAGAAAGATCCTTCAGCTGAGGTGCTGGCTCTGGGTGCCTTTGTGGTTCCTAATGCCCCTATTGGCTTCAATCATCACCTGAAGGAATACCAGGTGAGCCTGACTGAATTGGAGAGAATGTCCGGTCTGACCTTCTTCCCTAAAGTGGACAAAACTCAGAGCCTGAAGAACCTCTGCACAGTGGACTCCTGTGAGCTCATGGACTTCAAGCGTTTCACGCTATACATGACCGGCCGTAAAGTAGGTGGTGCCAAAACTTTGGCAAAGCTGGATAAGATAATGGCGGAGCTGAAGGAAGCAGGAATCCCACCTGATGAGTACTTGGTTAAACTGTACCTGGAGAAAAAACAGGAACTCTTGCAAAAGGAAAACCCAGAGAGCGAGTCAGGATAACTAAAAGTTGTACATCTGTCTGCCTTCTTTGTGATCAAGTCATGTGGCATTTTTTTGCATTGCATTCTTTGTCCTCTTTAAAAATAGCGCCTTCTGCAATTGTTTCCTTTTTGATAGTGTTTTAAATGTAATGTGTACCAAACCAAAATTATGAAACTTGAGTACTGTTTTAAGTAAAATATGTATATACAGTTTTGTAATAATGTCATAAATGTTTTTAAAAATCATTCACTTTACTGTTGCATTTGTTTCTGTTCTGACTGGTTTATGACTCAGTAAATTCTCTGGCCTGGTATGTTGGTCAGTTGTTTTCAAGGACAAGATATCTGAGATTGTCCAGCTGTTTACATACCAGAACAAGTGTTTTAGAATGATTATTTAAGGCACATATTACATGCTATGGCTTTTTGCTGTATACGGCAGGGGTAAAACTTGACTGTGTTGTAGCATAATTTCTTTTGACTCTTCATATAGTGGCCTTGCGTCACTTTTGTTTGACGGATTGGATTTCAGCTTAAAATCGATGGGTCAGAGCACACAGTGTTGTGTTGTGTTGTCTGATAAAGGGTTGCATGTAACTCAATCTCCTTATCACAGGCTCTTTACACCAGACGAGTATGCTAATCTGGCCTGAACCCCAATGTACTTCCTGACACAAGTCAAATGTAATTGCATCTGATGTTTAGCTTGCTCTGTAGGAAAGTAAAGAAAATGCTGGAGCCCATTCAACTTGTCAGAAAACCACAATTGTTAGCTTTATTGGCTGAATTGTTTGGTACAGTGAAGTGCTTTTTCATTCCGGCTGAAATATGTAGGTAGGGGATTTGCACTTGGAATCAGGTTATTGGTTTTAAATCTCAAATGAGGTGTAGAGGGATGCTGGCTTGCTGGAGGTTCAGACGACCCTTGTTCTGAACACTGCTATTGTGCCCTTCAGCAAAGCACATATTGTCTCCCCTGGCCCTTGTCCTTACCATAACGGCCTTGAAAGAGCAGTGAGTGTTCACTGACCCTAATGCAAACAAATAATCATTTACAGGGCCAATATCATAGAAAAAAAATCCTAGTTTATCCTTTTGAAAGAGTTTAATGTAGCATGTAGATATTGCACCATCAGCTGCCCAGTCTGTACAGTCCATATATGGAAACACATTTGTCTGTCTACGCCAGGGGTGTCCACACTTATCTGCAAAGGGCCAGTGTGGCTGCAGGTTTTCATTCCAACAGTATAGGATTAGATCCTAAGACGGATACCAACTGATTAAAAAAAGTAGAATCAGATGAACTCCAGCTCATTTGGCATGAAAACCTGCAGCCATAATGGCCATTTGTGGATAACACCAGCCACCCCTGGTCTATACATATGTATCAACTTTATCTTTTATTTTTTCCAACAAGCTCAACAAATAAATAGAAATTGTGCACTAAAATGTGCAAAAAATACACATTTACGTTTGTTCTCTGTAGACGATGTGTTAACTTATTTTCGCTTAGGAATGTGTAATTTGACTAGGGATGTTCAAACATTTCCATACAACTGTATCTCAGTCTTAAATGAAAAAACCTATTTAATTCTATTAGCTAAACAGAGGTTGGAAGTCTAGAACTTCTTTTGGTACTTAAATCCACACAAACATCATAAATGGCCATCAGGGTATTTAAAAAAAAAAAAAAGAAAAATATGAATATAGGCCCTTAAAAATCTAAACATATGTTTTTGCAATGGAGAGAAGCGGTTAATTGTACCATTAAACTCAGTATATCTCTTATGCATTTTGCTAGATCCTTGTTGCTGAGTTTATTAATCTCTTCAAACTTCTGTATACATCTTTGTTGTATGTGGTTATTTAATGCAATCAAGATCTGGTCTGTGTGGCGTAGAAGTGGACCATTCTATTTTACAGCTTGTGAACATAGAAAGGTCAGGAGTCAAGTGACTGTTAGAGTAAGTGACCATATGGTGAGATTCCATACGAGTTGGGTTGTAATTCTGGCTACATGTGAACATAATATAATTAAAGCAAAACAATGGATAACATGATAAATTCAATAAATCTGTCAATCCCCTTTACATTTACTCAGAGATTGAAGTTGACTTTAGTTGACCTCTAGCTGTAAAAAGAATGGCATAATGGCAGCATGGCTCAAAAAAAAGCTTTGAGGGAGGGCGGCAGTGGCGGCAGTATTCACCATAAAGAAAATTAAATCTGCCCTTCTCTTGCGCCCTTTTGTTTTCTGATGTTAAATATTGAGCTGGTTGCCTTGAATTCTCTTAAATAACTTGGAAGCAAATTAACCCTTTACTACATTATAGCAATTAAAAATCTGGATATAATCTCAGGCTTTTGCTAAGCTGTCCCAGCGAGAGAGAAGTGCAGTTGCCATGATTACGGTGTACTATTTTCACGGTGCGCTCCCGTGACTTCTCCACTGGCTGTGCTGCCTCAGCATGTTTTACCTCTGAGACAGTGATCAAGCACTGAGCATTTTTTTTGCAAGCAAGTCACATTCAAAAGTTTGTTTGCCAACATTGCAATTTCTGTGAAATTCTTTCTCCTATGAAAATCTTTTTTTAAGATGGTAGATTTTTCTATAGGTCACCTATCTGAAGTAAAGTGAGTCAAGGTTGAAGGAACAGGAGTGAGTCAGCATGTTGAAGGTGAGTATTGCAGTGGGTGCAATCTATCCGTCTCACCATTTCTCCAAATGTCAATTATTTTACAATCTTTAAAGATAAAAATAAATACAAATTTGGAAGCAACACCACAATGATGAAATGGTCAGGTGTTCTTTGAAAGGTCATTGTATTGAATTATGTTGTATTGAAGCTTGAATTGGAAATGATGCTTTTTCAGTGCTGAGGAAAGTACTGGACCAGTGAGGTTTGCATACCTGTAAGTACTAATAGTTGAATTGTGTTGCATTTTAGGTTTTTGGGCAAGGTCCTGCTCTGTCCACCTGAAAACATCTGCTGATGCAGAACAGGTGCAAAGCTCAAACCCTAGTGGTAATTAGGCAGCCTGTGTCTGCTGCCATGTCCTTGCACATTCTCAAAGCACAAAACAACAAGCTAGGCAACCAGCCAAAGGCAACCCAATTAGTCTGTTACCTTCCAGTTCTTTGGAAGACCTTATTGGACACTTCAGTTGTAGTTAAGTGGGGAAAAATGAGTAGGTTGTGTGATTTTTATGAATTCATTTATTTTTAAGTACTTGTTTTTACATGATTTTTTTCGAGGTGTAGTTCTGCATTATATGTTCCATTCTTGGAGTGTTTTGAGACAAGAAAAATCTTGTGATTCCATTAAATGGACATTCTGGCCTAAAACTAGAATTTAGTACGTCAATTGCTGTGATGCAGTGTTCTGCGTACTGTATCTCTTATTGGTTTGATAGCATTCACTATTTTATATTGTTTTCATACTTTTGTTCATCAGTCTTCTCTCACTACAATACCCAGCATGCACTCAAATAGGTTATGCAGTCATTGGGAATCCCTGTGGTGTCAGCCAGTCCTGACAGCTAGCCTAGTCACTAATACAATAGCATTAGAGATCTCTTACCTTGGACGTCAAACAAAACCATAAAAGAAAGCAGTGATTCTCTATTTATTCAGAACAAAACAAACACCAGAGACCAGTTTCTTTATCCTTTCAACCAAAGAAAAGAAACCAAGTTGAGGTAATGTATCATTTAGATAGCGAGGTAGCTTCCTTGCTAACTTTAACGTTTAGCTAAATCTATACAGTTTTATGGCTGCAGTAAGATATTCAGCTTTCTAGAAGTAGAGTTAGCTACCTCCCTGCTTTCTGCATTCAGCACCCAACCAAAAAAGAAAATAAAAGCCCACCATCCAAAAATCTACCCCAAAGCAGTTATTTTTTAAAATGCCTCCTACCTCGAAAAGACATCGTCAGAAGAAAGTTTAGTATTCAAACCTGAAAACCCAACTCTTAAAAACTACTGTGGCTCTGCTGAAGGATGCTAGTTTAGAGGCACGTTTAGAACAGATATAGTGATGGTTACATTTTCCTTTTTTGCCTTAAAGTGTGCCTTTAAATTGTTACCAAATTACCGCTCTGGTACTCTATTATTAAGTTTTACCAAAGCTTTAAACAAGTTTGAAAAATGCCCTAATTTTCACTTTGAAAACAAACAGGCGTAAGACTAAAGGAAGCATATTAAGAAGTTAGATGAGTTTCACTGCAGCTTTTAAATAACAACAGTGCTACTGAACTACACCTGCTCACACAGTATGCGCTCTCTGTCCTCACAACTAGTCCTGGAAAGTGTTGTTCTGTTTGCGTTGCCTTATTTAAGTCATCAGGAATCCCACTGAGTTTGCATCTTCTCATGAGTGCGTATCTAAATGTCCTCAACCTCACACACCTTTTATAACAGATGTTTCTGAGCAAAGAATCTCTATCCTCAGAAACAATTGGCCTATCTTTAACCAGAATTATTAATCAGACAAGCCAATCAGTTTTGCACACTTGGAACCAGCAGATGGAGATATACCTACCTTAAAACTCGTTGTGGTCAAATATCTCTTTGAAATACACAACAGAATGTGATTGTAGTCTGTGAGATTCATCAAATTGTTTATCTCAGCAGTAAGTGTGTCCCTGCCTGTTAAACCACTATACATCATTATAATGCATATAAATAAACATAAACGCAGTAAAAAGTAAGAATTGTTTTCAAAAAAAAGTATTTGCGAGCTGGTTAGAGGAACATGTTTGGTTCCAGATTTATCAGTGATGCCCCCTTTGACTTGTTCAAATTCACCACCAGCAGGCCTGAGTTTAATGATGCATTTATTGGGCAAATCAGGTATTGGATGATAACTACAAATAATATTGGGCTGCTACAAAGTAAGTTTGAAAATGGTTAAGCAAACACATTAACACATAGAAAAACACTACTTGGTGTATTAATGTTATTAATGTTATATTTATTCTAATATCAGTAAATGCCTTCCAGATAAATAACTTTGTAATTCCACTTTTAACATTTCGCAAAGGAACTTTGCACCCCACCTAATGTTTTTGCTTTCTTTCTGGTGGGCTTATTTGTCAGCCTATTGAAGGCTTGCTTTTCTGGCAGACACCTCTTTGGACTTCATATTAACAGTTAAACAGCAACAGATTACAAATGCAAATGCAGTGAAGATTTTAACTTGACTTTCTATCTGCTTACATGAAAGTGAAATGAGGGAATAACACAGC